AATATGGGTTTACTGTCTGACGTGGCATTTGAAAAGGTTTCTGGTACACGAGCAACTCCACTGCTCTTAAGTGTGGGTCATTCACTACAAACTGATGTTTTAGGTAAGTATGTAATACTTGATTTTCCCCCTCTTTACTAAGGTCCTTTCATTATTTCCTGCAGCGAGTGCTGGATTCTATTAAACATTTTTCTCCTTAAGCACTGTTTGCTGGGTCTTCACTTTACATGTTTTAACCATCCAATAAATACCGTGGTTTTGCAAATGTTTACACTGAGTTCATCTTATTTACTTTTGCACAAAAAAAAAAAGGGAGTAGTTCTTAATTCTAAAAATACTGAACTTGTTTAGAGAAAAAAATTATTAATAATTGCTAAGAATTTTAATTTTCTAGTTGTTACAAACTGAAAAGCACAGCTGAACAGCAAACCACGGTACTATGAAGCTTAAGGAAGATGTCAGACTTGTTCCCACATTCCCCATAGAGCAGATCTTCACCAACGTGTTCGTTGGGGTTCAGTGCTCATGTTCCAAAGGCAACACGAGGTATCAACAGACCTTCAACATTCCCAGCCTGCCCACTCCTTCATAAAGTGGCAATGGCTCCAGCTCCAGGAATGGTTCCATGCTGACTCACTTCTTCTGCAATACCCAGAAGAGCTAAGACAAACCACACACTGAGAATTATTACTCCAAGTTATTGCTTCCCTTGGGCTATTTGAACAACAAACAAAAAGAATGCACAAAGTGAATCCAGACTTTCCCAATTTACTCTTTAAGCTCTCTGAGGCAGGAGGACTATTCTCATTTTGAATTCTGCACATTATTTGTCACCTTATCAGCAACTCACACAATAGTATATGTAACTGCTCTGTCCTTGCTATAGAAGATGACACAATCCCCTGTTCACTGATACAGACCCTGACAGATCCCCTGGAAGGACAGATTTGATTTGGATCAAGACAAGAATACATACTGAAGATGGTTGTGTATGGTGGTTACACCAAATTTATGCTGCCTGTGGAAAAGTACAGATGACACTCCTCTGGCACAAAGTCAGGACAGCTCAGAAAGACAACAACTGATTCAATAAAAATTTAACCAGGACAAAATGGCAACTTAAAAATCTTCAAATGGCACTGTGTCTTTGTGTCTGTCCCTCGCTTTGCATCTCAGGCTATTTTTATTCTATTGGAAGAGACTCTAAAAGGTTTATGACTCTTCAGCTCGTATTCACGGGACTGATCTTAGTGGTCAGAAGAACATCCACCAACTTGGTCTAAAGTTCGTTTATCATCAGTCACATATCATTAGTAGTTTCTGTTTACAGATCAGGACGTTAAAATAAATATATTGATTTAACTAAACCCACAAAAAAGCAGAGAATGGTGTTCCAGAGGAACAGTCTCTGTTCTTTTCTAGGAAGATGAAAAGGAAATGGAAAGGAAGGGTCTGCCTAAAACGGGATCCCCAGGCACCTGGTTAGATAACCAGCTTGACAGCTCAGTGACTGCCAAGTATAAAAAGACAAACTTCCTTAAACTGTTTTTGAGCTGCTACTTTACAAAATACAATCCTCAACTAAGTATAACCTTCACCATCAAAGCGAAATCTCAGCCTCCGTGAAATCACCAGCAAAAATTACCACTGCTTTTACTCAGCTGAGATCCACATTTTGTTGTATGAGGCTCACATGACAAAATGCAGGCATTTACACTGTGGTTAACCACCCAGCTCCCCTTGATCATCCCCAAAGGAAAACAGACACTCATCTTCTCCAAGAGAAGACACCCAAAATAGGTCGACTGATTTATATCCAAAAATGCTTTTTTATCTCCACAGGCTGAAACAAAGTTTTAAGTGACAAGCTCTATATCGCAGATATCTAAAATAAGCAGAAAGGAACCCACATAGAATTTTATTCTTGGTTTTCAAATGAAAACATAACTTGTGTCAATGGAACCAAGCACACAATACAGACTGCTCTGTGGAAAACACATTTATTCATCACTCCTTCACCAGGAAGTCTCCAGACCTTTAGATACCAGAGAATGACAGGAAACTGGGAAATGCTAACTGTCCACACTGATCAATGAGTTGAAATAAACTTTTCAAATAATTTGATCAGGGTTCCTGTAGATCCCAAAAGATTAGCACATTTTTGATCCTGTGATAACTTATAATGGGATTTCTATTCGAATAAAGCTACTTCAGCTGTTCTGTGTATTTTATGTATTGTATCATTAGGTTTCAGTATCTCTTCACAGATGAAAAATGAACAGAACAATAATAATTTTGCCTCTCTGCAGTTTCAACATCTTAACTGTACTCCTTACTATGACAGGATACACTCGATGATTTATTCTACACCACCTCCCCCCTGAGGTGTCTTGGATTCAATTATTTACACAGTAGTTAAATCCTCACTGTGGATAACTTTCCCAAAATTCCACCCAACTTCAAAAATCTGTCCTCTGATTTTCCCCTTATCTGCCAAAACTAACATTCTATTGGTAACCTCTGAACTGGATTCCCAGGATCAGGAGAGGAAAGTCTTGTGGTCTCTATGTCATATACCACAGTACATTTTTTTTCCTTGGATTTTTGTCAACACTGGTTGTTTCTAACAATGGATATTGATTACTCAGATCTTCATTTCCTTGTTTTTCCTTTCTTACTGTTTCTAGCTAATTATGTTACCTAAAACTATGCATCATATCCGCCACCACACCTTGGAGGAGATCAGATTAGACAGATGGAAGTATTCCAGTAAGACACAAACAACAGAGCTACAATGTAGAAAAATCAAGATCATAACAGTAATTCTAGAACTGAAAATTGTGAAACACGCAAACATCAGAAAATGGCCATGTTTTTTCCAAAATAAATTAAAATTCTTATCTAGATCCTCTTTAAGCTTCAAATATGTAACAATAAGATGTATGAATCTTCTGAGGAAAAAAAGAAAAAGCTAAATATTGAATGCACATAACCAGAGGAAACTTTTCCAATTTCTATCATGACCACAACTTTGGCTAGTCATCAGAACATCATTTCAATAACTCAATCAAATAAATTGCAGTAATTCCATAATACCATGTTATTTATGGATGCAACGTGCATTAAAAAGAAAAAAAGCCTATTTAAATAACAGAATGTTATAGTGGAACAGGACTCAAGCATTCAAGAGCTGTGAAAAAGAACACGCATCTTACATAGGAAGTCCTGTGCTTGAGAAAATTATTTATCCCCCCTACAGTCACCATTTCCATCTTTCTTCTTAAACACACAGTTTTACTTTATGTATACATAGCAAATTTCATTTTCCAACTTACTGGTGTGATTTTCCCATTTGATAGATTAAATAACTTTAACAGTCCACTTACCCCTCAGCTCAGTGAAGAATATGCAAATTACATCATCTATATAGGGCAGTGAATGTTTTGGAGAAGAAACTAATTTTTTTTTTCTTATGGTCTTACAACCTTCACAATTTTCTAAGACCTTTCTCCTGCTTCACTCTTCATCTTTAGAGCTGCTACATGACAAGTACAAAGGCTCGTTCTCAAAGAGGGCCCTTCCACCCCACTGATTACCATGGTTCAAAACAAAGAAATCTTTCAAAATATTTCAAGAGGTAATTATTAATATCAAGACCTTGACAAATCACAGAGTTGGGTCTGGAATCTTATTTCAGTGTATCATTTAGTATTATATTTCAGTATATTTAAGACTCCATTTCAGTATTTAACAGGCTCTGAAGTCTTTTTTGTGTTATGACATTTTCTATAGCTGACACCTTCTTTTCCAGAAGAAGGACTCAACAGCTTTTTACAGCATGTTCTTTTAAAATGCACTCTGTAATGAAGACCTGATTCATTATTAAAAAAAAAAAAAAGTCACAATCATCAAAAGCAATTTTGAATACAAAGAGTAATCTGTTCTTACAAGTCAGGACTGAAGTATACAAACACTGTTGTTAGTGACAATTAAGTAACAACCCCTGAAGCATTGACATCAGCCTTCTTTTTAAGAAATACTAGAATTTAAATTAAAGGAAAACTTAAAAATGCTTCAGCTGTCCGTTAGATGACTTACACATGTACCCCTCTTTACAGTACAAACTGAAACCTGTGACTGAGCTCAAAAATCAGCAGAAACAACTACATCAAGACTAACAGACAACATGATTGTTTTAAGTGCCGTTTCCTTCAGAAACCAGGCCAAAAGAATACTCATTTCAGACCAGAAATGCCTGAAATGTACCAGTCTCTGTAGGGAAAAAAAAAAAAGAAATCAGAGTGCTGATGAAAAGAGAAAAGGAACTGCAGAAAAAGGTAACTGGAAAGTACACCACATCCATCTATTCAACAGTTTATAATATATAGAATACATTGTTTTCAGTCAATTATAATCCAAGATTTATTTTCATATTAATGGTAACAAACCATAACAAGGGAGGGAGTTTCTATCATATATATATCCTGATTAGTCAATAACCTGGAGGTTTAATGCAGAATCAAACAAGCAAATAATTATTCAGATCAGTCCAACTAGAGTTTAATGAACAGTTTTAATTTTCTGGAAGAAAGAAGTTTATTCTCCTTCAAGAACACCAAATCTGTTTTATTTCCTGCCACCAGTTTCAAACAATTGCTCAATATTTTAAGTTAGTTCCACAGTAGACAACTATACACTGAATATAAAAGTTTTATACACAACATATATATGCGGTAAATAGCACTTCAAATGAATTTTATTTTCATTATCCTTTTAATTTTTACTTCTAAGATAACTAAATCTTGATGCTTAAGCTTTTTCTACACACACAAAAACATCTGAATAAGTTATATTAATTAGTATCCTACAACTGTAAGAAAACTAATTAAAAAACACTGTAACTTGAGATTTGAAGTCTTTTTGGAAGGACTTACTAGCATAGTACTTTTTAAATTTCATTATTTATTTTATAAACATAGAAGTCTAAAATCTGTACTTACTTCAACATGTGCAAGTAACGTTTCTTCAATGTTATCACTGGTTTTCTCCCTGAGATCTTGTGCGATGTGTCTATTTCTTACCTGGAAATGTGTTTTACTAAGATAACCATCACCAAGGTCCTGTGTTCAGAAAAAAAAAAGAAAAAAAAAATTCTGTAATCAAAATGCTAAATGCCATCAATGCACTGCTCCTCAGCATCTTCTAACAGGTAGTGTGCTGGTTTAAAGGTAAACCAGCAGGGGAAATGAACCTAACTCAAAAGAGATTATAAGTCAGAATAACAATTTAATAAAAATAATACAATAAATACAATTACACAGACAAACAATTGGTTTTAACCCACAAAACCCAGATGTATAACCCAGCACCCCACCCTGGGGCATGAACAGAGTGGTGTTCGTTGGGCCTCCCCTCCCCGTGCTGAGCCCCACGTGGTCCCCCTGAGTCCAAAAAGTAAAAGGAGAGGGAAAACCTGTTGGTGAGAGTGCTGGTTGCAGTCCAGTCGAGGCTGGTGATCGCAGTCCGGTTGGGAGTGCTGTTGCAGTCTGGTCGAGAGTGGTGACTGCAGTCTGGTTGAGAGAGGTGGTCACAGTCCAGTCCAAGTTCTGGTCCTTCTCTGGATCCCACGAGAGGTACCAGAAGTCCCAAGACCCCAAGATTATATACCCTCAGGTTCAGGCAGGAATGCTCAGTACCTCCCTCAGGTCGAGGAGTTCCACAATGGGTGTGAGGACAGGAGCATCCTCCTATCTCACAGGCCTCTAACACCCAGCTTATAGCCTGAGGGGTCAGGCGTGCTCTGGGCAGCTGCTGTAAATGGTTTATTGTTAACAGTTTCTGGGAAATGGCATGGCAGGGTATAGAATATACAGTTTTGGGTTACACCCACACAGTGATGAGCTGGTCCCAGCTGTTCTAGCTAGGACATTATCCATCCCTTATTCTATGCCATCCATGTCATGCCCAAATTAACCCCCTTTAAAAACTACATACATATATATACAATGAAACATTACAGACCATTCTCATTCAAAATTAGGTCCCCTTGTGGTACATAACGTGTCTTCCCATCTTTTTGCATTACCCACCAGGTGAAACCAGACTCTCGAGCAAAAACAATCCCTCGGATGGGTTTGCCTTTGCTTGAGGTGGGACTAATCCAAACAGTCTTTCCTAACATACCTCTCATATGCACCACAGGGACTTTATCTCCATCTACAGTATGCAAGGGTTCTGATTGGGCAGGGCCAGCTCGATTGATGGAGCCTCGGGTGTTGACCAACCAGGTGGCCTTCGCTAAATGCAGCTCCCAGTGTTTGAAAGTCCCCCCACCCAGTGCCTTCAAGGTGGTTTTCAGTAGTCCACTGCACTGCTCAACTTTTCCAGCAGCTGGTGCGTGGTAGGGGATATGATACACCCACTCAATGCCGTGCTCTCTGGCCCAGGTGTCTACAAGGTCATTCTTGAAATGGGTCCCATTATCAGACTCAATTCTCCCCGGGGTGCCGTGTCGCCACAGAATTTGTTTTTCAAGGCCCAGGATGGTATTCCGGGCAGCGGCATGAGGCACAGGGTATGTCTCCAGCCATCCAGTACTTCCTTCTACCATGGTCAGTATGTAATGCTTGCCTTGGCGGGTTTGGGGGAGCGTGACGTACAGGATTCCTCATACCTGTATTTCAACCACCATCCACCATACCATAGAGGCTTCACCCGCTTGGCCTGCTTGATGGCAGCGCATGTCTCACAGTCATGTCTCACAGACCAGTGAGACACTGTCCACGGTTAGATCCGCCCCTCGGTCACGAGCCCATCTGTATGTTGCATCTCTTCCCTGGTGACCGGAGGCATCATGGGCCCATCGAGCCAGAAATAATTCTCCTTTGGGCTGCCAATCCAGATCTACCTGAGAGACTAATCCTGGCAGCTCAGTCCGCCTGATCACTGTTACGATGCTCCTCATTAGCCCATTTCTTGCCTACATGAGCATCTACGTGATGGACCTTCACACTCAGCTTCTCTACCCGGCCAGCGATGTCCCGCCACATCTCTGCCGCCCAGATGGGTTTCCCTTGGCGCTGCCAGTTGGCCTTTCTCCATCGCTCCAGCCATCCCCACAGAGCATTGGCCACCATCCATGAGTCAGTGTAAAGACAGAGGCTTGGCCACTTCTCTCGTTCAGTGATATCCAAAGCCAGGTGAACAGCTTTAAGCTCTGCAAACTGACTTGACCCACCTTGTCCTTCGGTTGCTCCTGCAACTCGCCGTGTGGAACTCCACACGGCTGCCTTCCATTTTCGGTTCGTCCTACAATGCGACAGGAGCCATCTGTGAAGAGAGCATACCACTTTTCATCTTCTGGTAGCTGGTTATATGGTGGGGCCTCCTCAGCCCGTGTCACCTGCTCCTCTTCTTCTTCAGAGGATAGTCCGAAACTCTCACCTTCAGGCCAATTGGTGATAATTTCCAGAATCCCAGGGTGATTAGGATTCCCTATCCGGGTTCACTGTGTGACCAGAGTGATACACTTACTCCATGTGGCATCGGTGGCATGATGTGAAGAAGGAGCTCTTCCCTTGAACATCCAGCCCAGCACTGGTAGTCAGGGTGCCAGGAGGAGCTGCACTTCGGTGCCGATCACTTCTGAGGCAGCTTGAACTCCTTCATAGGCAGCCAGGATCTCTTTCTCAGTTGCTGTATAGCTGGCTTCAGATCCTTTGTATCCCCGACTCCAGAATCCCAGCGGTTGTCCTCTGGTCTCCCCAGGCACTTTCTGCCAGAGGCTCCAGGAAGGGCCATTCTTCCTGGCTGCAGTGTAGAGCACATTCTTCACATCCTGTCCTGTCCTTACTGGCCCAAGGGCTACCACATGGGCAATTTCCTGTTTAATTTGTTCAAAGGCTTGTTGTTGTTCAGGGCCCCACTGGAAATCATTTTTCTTCTGTGCCACAAGTTAGAGAGGGCTTACAATCTGACTATACTCGGGGATATGCATCCTCCAAAAGCCCACAGTGCCTAGGAAAGCCTGTGTTTCTTTCTTACTGGTTGGTGGGGACATGGCTGCTATTTTGTTGATCACCTCCATTGGAATCTGGTGGCGTCCATCTTGCCACTTCAGTCCTAGGAACTGAATTTCCTGAGCAGATCCCTTGACCTTACTTCGTTTAATGGCAAAACCGGCTCTTAGGAGAATCTGGATTATCTTCTCTCCTTTCTCGAAGACTTCCCCCGCTGTGTTCCCCCATACAGTGATGTCATTGATGTACTGTAGGTGCTCTGGAGCCTTGCCCTTTTCCAGTGCAGTCTGGATCAGTCCATGGCAAATGCTGGGACTGTGTTTCCACCCCTGAGGCAGTCGATTCCAGGTGTACTGCACAGCTCTCCAAGTGAAAGCAAATTGTGGCCTGCACTCTGCTGCCAAAGGAATGGAGAAAAAGGCATTGGCAATGTCAGTGGTGGCATACCACTTGGCTTCCTTGGACTCCAGCTCATACTGGAGCTCCAGCATGTCCGGCACAGCAGCACTCAGGGGTGGTGTGACTTCATTGAGTCCACGGTAATCCACCGTCAGCCTCCACTCTCCGCTGGACTTACGCACTGGCCATATAGGGCTATTAAAGGGTGAGCGAGTCTTGCTGACCACCCCCTGGGTCTCCAGTTCACGGATCATCTTATGTATAGGGGTCACAGAGTCTCGGTCGGTGCGGTATTGCCGACGGTGCACTGTTGCTGTGGCTATCGGTACCAATTGTTCTTCAACCTTCAGCAGTCCCACAGCAGAGGGGTCCTCTGAGAGACCAGGCAAGGTGTTCAACTGTCTAATTTCCTCCGTCTCCACAGTAGCTATGCCAAAAGCCCAACAAAGTCCTTCTGGGTCTCTGAAATACCCACTCCTCAGGTAATCTATGCCAAGGATGCACGGGGCCTCTGGGCCAGTCACGATGGGGTGTCTCTGCCATTCCTTCCCAGTCAGGCTCACTTCAGCTTCCAGTACAGTCAGCTGTTGGGATCCCCCTGTCACCCCAGAAGTGAAGATGGATTCTGCCCCTACGTATCTTGATGGCATTAAAGTACATTGTGCGCCGGTGTCCACTAAGGTCTTATACCTTTGTGGCTCTGATGTGCCAGGCCACCGAATCCACACTGTCCAATAGACTCGATTGTCCCTCTCCTCTACCTGGCTAGAGGCAGGGCACCCCTACTCCTGGTCATGGTACTCATTGTGCTCTTCTTGTGAGTACGACCTGGAGGTCCCTTCAAGATAATCAGATGTATAATCATTCCTGTACCATCTGGAGTCTTGCCCACGAGAGACTGGAGCAGCGTTTACCCTTGAAGAGTTCCTTGTGGTACTTGTTCCTCTTTTTAGTTCACGTACCCGGGCTGCTAAGGAAGGGGTGGGTTTCCCATTCCACTTCCTCATATCTTCTCCGTGCTCATGGAGGTAAAACCATAGATCGCCACGTGGAGTGTACCCTCTCGCCTTAGCTGGGGGATGCTGGCTCCTAATAGCAGAGACTCTTGTTTGTCCTGGTGAGATATGGAAGATCCCTTCCTTAATTTCTTCTCTTAGCTTCTGGTGTCCCTCTTCAATCTTCTCTTCCAGGCTTCGGATATGTTCAGCCAGTTTGGTTTCCACAGATGAGACATGGGCTCGTAATGGGACGGAGCCCCACTGAGGGTTGGGCCCTCCCAGCCCCTGGCTGGGGGGCTACAGGGACTTGGAACAGTGTTAGACTAGGCTAAGTATCTGTAGCTACAAAGCTGAAGGAGTTTTCTCCACTGTGAGTGGGCAGACAGAGCAGCGGCAGAAACAGCACTGACCGGAGAGACTGTGGCAGAAAGCCAAGAGATAAGGAACCAGCATGCAGCAACGCAGAGAAAACTTCTTCAAGGAGAGAGAGAGAGAGAGCCAGCAGCAGAGAGAGAACTAAACTCTACAGAGAGAGTTGGGGTAAGAACTGAAAACCAAAACCCCCAAACTCTTTTTGAGATCCCTCCTAAAGAGGAGGGGGTGGACTCCTACTGGATGGAAGTCCTAAAATGCAGCATGCACTGCAGAGAGAGGAGCTGAGAAGCTCCATCCTGGAGCTGGACCGGAATGGCCAGAACGGAATGT